GTTTATTTGGGAGGAATCGCGTAGGTGTCATCTCAGCCTAATAAGTCCCCTGAGCGCTGGAGGATGGCTTTCCTAGAATGGAGTTACCCGCCTCCCCTTCCAGCCAATACAGAATCCTTCGTCATGTTTTTTATCCTTTTACATCATAGACGAATATGGGACTTCTTAGACAGGCGTCAGGCTCAGTAGAGGAGAGGGGTAGTGAGAAAGAGGCGCTCGGGGTGATGGATGGACATAGTGGCTGCGACAATGGGATCAAGCATTGGGACAAATGTGCGAACAGTACAGGACCAGGTTGATGGGCAGAGGGTGGCTATGGGTCGGAACCAATTCGATGGCACCTAGCAACCAAAATATGTGATAAATATAGTTGCAAACTGCTTAGATGTGAAACTAAAACAAAAAACCCTCACTACCATCAAGTCAATTCTGTCATCGTAAATGGGTAGTAATGACAGTTTTGACCAGAAGGCGTCGTTGTTGGTAGTGTTGTTGGTAGGTGCCTTCGAACCGGTTCTGCCGGTTCTGACTCCTAGGGACCACATAAACAACGGAAGCATCCCGTGGCCCGGCACCATCCTCACAGTGGTTTCTGTCTGTACGCCCATGGTTGCAGACTCGGGGTCAGTCCATCCTTGTTTTTACTCTCCCTCCCCTTTACCAAGCATGATGTCCTTTTCTAAGGACGGGCTTTAAAAAGCATCCCGTATATAAAGCATATATAAACTAGCAGAGTTTTAGCTTTGTGTGTATATTGGTACATATAAAAAGGGCTTACATGTTGTGTGGGTTAGAACTAACTATAAGGATATTTTATTTTAAATATGTATGTTCTCTGAACTGCTGCACACAGATTTTATGTGGTTCTGTTGGTGTTCTCCTCTTTGAGAGTGTCATGCAGTAGGGCTTCATGCTGCTAAGTCCCCCTGGTGATACTCTGGTGGCTGTTCTGGTTTGGGTCTGGGGAGTGAGAGTGGAATGAGAAAAGATAAATGGATTTTTCTTTGTCCATGTTGGCCTTTCAGCTTTTTATCAAGTTCTTTGAAGGTCTGACAAATTTCGTCCCCAGAAAAATGCATGAAGGCAAATACTTACATAATTCAAATATGATTTTTTTTTGACTCATGGACCACTGAAGGCCATCCTAAGGAAGGGTTAGTAACTCCATGATTGTGTGTGGGTTTTCTTTTAAATCACTTTATCGGGGGCTCGTACAACTCTGATCACAATCCATACATACATCCACTGTGTCAAGCACATTTGTACATTTGTTGCCGTCATCATTCTCAAAACATTTGCTTTCTACTTGAGCCCTTTGTATCAGCTCATTTTCCCCTCCCTCTCCACTGCCCGTCCCTCATGAACCCTTGATAATTTAAAAATTATTATTACTTTGCCATGTCTTACACTGTCTGATGTCTCTCTTCACCCACTCTTCTTCCATCCCCCAGGGAGGGGATTATATGTAGATCCTTGTAGTCGGTTCCCCCATTTTCCCCAACCTTCCTTCCACCCTCCTGGTATTGCCACTCTCACCACTGTCCTGAAGGGGTCATCTGTCCTAGATTCCCTGTGTTTCCAGCTCTTATCTGTACCCATGTACATGCTCTGGTTTACCCGGAATTGTAAGGTAGAATTGGGATCATGAAGTGGTGGGGGGAGGAAGCATTTAAGAACTAGAGGAAAGTTGTATGTTTCATGGTGCTATACTGTCCCCTGACTGGCTCATCTCCTCCCTGAGACCCTTCTGTAAAGGGATGCCCAGTTGCCTACAGATGGGCTTTGGGGCTCCACTCTGAACTCCCCCTCATTCACAATGATGTGATTTTTTTGTTCTTTGATGTCTGATACCTGAGCCCATCAACACCTCATGATCACACAGGCTGGTGCGCTTCTTCCATGTGGGGTTTGTTGCTTCTCAGTTAGATGGTTGATTGCTTATCTTCAAGCCTTTAGGACCCCAGACGCTATATCTTTTAATAGCCGGGCACCATCATCTTTCTTCACCACATTTGATTATGCACCCATTTGTCTTCAGCGATTGTGGTGTCGGGAAGGTGAGCATCATAGAATGCCA